AAAAGATACAATAGAAGTCGCAGGGGTCACAAAAAGATAAGCACTGTTCAATTTTATTTTTAATAGCTTTATTTATTTATTTATTTATTTATTTATGTGTGGTGCTTAGGATCAAACCCAATGCCTCTCAGGTGCTAGGCAATTGCTCTGCCGCTGAGCCACAACCCCAGCCCTCAAAATGATTTTGAGATAATGAATAAGATTATACATATTTATGTGCATTTCATCTTAAAATATGTATTTAAATACCTATATTTTTATTAATTTATGTTTTTAGTATGTTTTTTTAAATACTTAGAAATTAAAATTGTTTCTGGTACCTTTGAAGTCAAATGGAATCAATCATTTTGCTTTTAATTCTTCATTAGCATCTTTGCCAGATACTGTATAAATGAAATCATGAATTTTGTATTACTAAATGGACATTCTATACTAAGGATAAGTTTCTAAATTTTTTAGTGAGCAAAAATGTTTCATAAGGAAAATAAAGCTCAATGAGTTTACTTCTAATGTGTTAGTAGCAAAATAAAATAAAGAGTATTTAAGATTCTACTGTATTTATAGGAAAAATACCAGAAGAAAATATATTTCACTGTTAAATCATCTTGTGTCTATGTCATATAGGTAGCCAAAAGGCAAGACATTATACATTATATGCCTTTCCAATTACAAAAACTAAATTATTAGATTTTTATTTGTTTTCTTTTTACCCAAACAAATGCAGTGGCAAAAACAGGAACAGTGTGTCACTACACCCTTGTTCTTTATGATGCTTTATCACCTGAACTTTTTTTATTCTTTTATTGTATGACTAGAATGTCAGTTCATGAATGCTATTGTCTATTTTCCAAAAATTTAGGAGCTTCACATTCTGTTTGTTTTATCTATTATTATTAAGATGATGATGCCAATTTTTAAGAATTTAAGAAACATGCATTGTCAACTGTACCCATAGCTCCCAACAATGAAATATAGTCATACAAAAGTTAAGTAAGGTATAAACATGCAAAAGGAGAAGTCTCTCTGCGATCATAAAATGATGTTATTTTCTGTTCAGCAGTTCATGTTACTGCTGTTCATGCTAATTAATTAAAGGAGCTGTTGCAGTAATGTGCAAACAGGGAATCTGAGAAACTGAGAGGGCTTTTAGGTCTCCAAGTGAAGTTAAGTCAATCTGGGCGCGGGCAATCAAATATAATGAAATCACTTGTCAGTGCTAAGCTTGCAAAAACTGTGAAGTTTGACTAGGGAGTAAAAGGATTATAATTAGATTTCCAATAGGATAATAACTAAATGGCAGAATGCAGTAAAGAGAAAATATTACTTTGTTAGCTAATGGTACTGCTGTTTGGTTTTAGTTTTTATCAGCTCACTTGTAGTTGTGCTAATTTAATTTGCTTTTATCAGCACAAATGCACTACACAAATGGCACTTGAATGTCATTTGCAAAAATCATTGATCTGAAGGTGCACTTAATGACACCTGGTATGTTTATTTTATGTGAAGGGGGTGTTGGTTGATAAGATGGTTGATGTGCTGTCGTTCAGATTCCCAGATGAATTGTAGGGATCTGAATGGAACCATAGCAGTGTACATGTTCCACTGAAAACTTCACCTCCAGAGATAGTGCCTATACCTATAAAAGTGAGTATGTATTCATTGGTAGACTACCTGAAACATTCAGGAAGAGTTGAGAAAGTAGACTACTAAAATCTAAGTAGTACAGATATTCTTTTCTTGGAAGGTGGTCTATGTATGATATCTAGTCTGCTAACATTCAAAGCATGTAGGAAGTTATATAATTAAGCTGGCGAAATTTGTTAAACATAAAAGTATATAGTTCATGAGTAGTTTGTGCCATATATGGGAATTATGATAAAGGTGGATATGACTTTATTTCTTCTAAGAAAGGTCATGCAACATTTTTTTCAAGCCCCCCCCCCCCATATTCTCTTAAGGAGGTAACACAGTGGAACTAATTGGATTTTAAAGGCAGAATTCCAGGTTAAGGATAGATATCCAGAAAAATTATTGACAATAAGAAAAGAGAATTTCAGTGATACTGAAACTGGTTGCTGTGATGGAGATGAGTATTGGAAATGGCATTGTATTGCAATTCTGTAAGAATCATGCTCACAAACAATGGTAGGAAATAATCTTCCAAGTTACAAAAAAGGTGAGTAATGGAGGGAGGTGGAAAATTTTAAAACAGTATCAAAATAAGTCACAAAAAACCCATAACACACAGAAAACAAAATTATTAGCAAGAATGGAAAAACAATGACTAAAGTTGCATTTTATGTTTTTCAAGCATTATATATTTTTTGAAGATCACAGATAAATATAAATGGCATCTTTCAATTCTAAACATCTCAAATAATAAAAAAAATTATCAGGATTTTTTAGGTAATTATTTGAACTAATTCATTTGGTGAACTGTATTTAAGATTAGTTCTGGTAATATATTTAGCCATCTATTACCCTGGCTAAAAAAACAAATCATTTTTGCTAAAAATAACTTCTTTGATATTAAGATTGTAGTCTAATGCAATTTTAACATACGATATTTACTCTACTTTTGCTGAAAATGATGAGAGTTTTAGCATGTAGTTTAAGTTCTGTGCTAAGGGGGAGTGCATGCTTTTCCATTTTTATCACATTTATCCTGAAAATCATTTGATGCCATCTAAAAGGTAGATCTCCAATAAATAATTGTTAATCCACATATTTTATCATAACCCACATGTTTTATCATATATGGAAAATGTTAAACACAAATAAATAATAAAAGTCAATCCCTTTGCTTTAAAATAATTTCCATCTAAATCCATTTAAATATATATCTAATTATATTATGTTGGCCAGAAAAAAACACAGTAGAACTTACGCTTAGTGACAACTAATTTTAAATACTCATGTGAAAAAGCCATTCTTTAAAAATTTTTTTTTAGTTCTATGTGGACACAATATCTTTATTATTTTTTTTTTAATGTGGTGCTGAGGATCGAACCCAGTGCCTCACATGTACTAGGCAAGCACTATGCCACTGAGCCACCACCCCAGCTCAAAACAGCCATTCTTTACAGACTTTAAAAAATTTGGACCCAAATGGAGACAGTGAATATACTTTTGCATATATCACCAAACTGACAACCCACAAATAAGATATCTGTTGCCTATTGCATGGAAATGTAGAAACTTCAGGACAATTCAGAGGCTTCTATTTATCTTAGAATTGGGAAAATATTATTACTATGAGCTAAAGGCAGCATATGAATTAAAAGTAAAATAGCAAGTAATTGGATAAAGGTATAGGCTTAAAACATAATAAAGAAAAAAACTATTAGTAATGTGTTTGGTTTATTTCTTCCAGCTCCAAAGCTGACCTAACATACTTTTCAAATTAGGGGCACAATCAAGCTCTATGTTCCTTAAAGACTGTGTCTATATTTGTATGTCACTGATTCAGAATGAATCAAATAAATGTTACAGGCTATTCATCCCTACCATGGCCCTAGTATGTGATTGCAACCTCATACACCAGGCCTCCAACTAGCAGGAGTGTCTTCATAAATTTAGTTATGGTATATCTAGTGGACAAACATTCATGCAATTCAAATGGCTTTTCTTACAAAGACACAGCCTTTAAATTTTGGGTAAAAAGCAGGCAAGCATAAAAAAAGCTAAGAAAAAGCAAAATCTTCAGTGAATGAGCCAAGCATGCACACTGTCACATCTAACAGTAAATGTGTTAGTTAGTTAGTTAGTTAGTTAGTTAGTTAGTTCTATCCAGCTGCAGCAGAATCAGGCATTATAAAAGATCCATGAGCGATCATGATTTAAAAAATTACATAAATACAAATTTTAAGTTTCCTGAAGCTGCCACATTAAATGGTGATCTTCAGATACACCCAAATGAATCTCTTGGTCATAACCAGTTCTGTCCTTCACATTGATCCAGTCTATATGGTAGCAAAGAACCAATTTGTTAAACCTCAAGCAAGCAAAATATTCATGGCTATCTTTTTTTAAAAAATAATTTAACCTTTATTTATTTGTTTGTTGTTCTTTATTTATTTTTTGTTTTTATTTTTGTTTTTGATGTGGTGCTGAGGATCAAACCCAGGGCCTCACCCATCCTAGGCAAGTGGTCTACCACTGAGCCATAACCCCAGCCCTCATGGTTGTCTTTAATTTTCAGTTAGGAAATAATTTTCTGACAGAAATGTCTTTATTTATTAATGTAAGCCTTTTTAAACAATACACGTGAACATACGTGTAATCTACATAAAATTAAAGAACTAGAAAACTGTATTAGTTTACATTGGAAAATTTCCAGTAGTCAAATTAAATTCCTATTTTAGGTTCTTTTGCACTCTGTCGAGATGCTGTATTGATGTGTTTTATCTGTTTTCTACCTAGTAAATATCTTTAAATATTTTAAAGGACCTACGTATTTATGGGTATCATATAAATCATGAATTATAAGTCGTGCAGCTATTTCCATATTTAGGTGGTTTGTAAAATTACCATCAAAATTTATAGGCTGACAAAAATGTTGTCTGGAACACTTTTAACATATCAATAGGTTATGGTTATTGTATTTGTGGCATTTACAAAAAGCAAAGTAGTGAAGTTAAAAATACAAGTATTGTACACTTATGAAAGGTAAATTATATTCACATTTATACATTTTTAGAATATGGTAATACATAAATGCACATCCTTTTAACAGCTAAATGTACACAAAATTTGCTCACATTGTATACATAAAGTTACTAGTCCCTAAGTATCTGTACTGTTATTGGGTTTTCACAGTCATATTAAACTTGTTTTAGTAAAAAAAAAATAAATGCAAGTTGCTGCCTATGTCATTGAGTAAAAGAGTTAAACATTTATTTTACTTATATGAAAAGTATTAACACAGAAGCTCATTCCCACCATATGCCCAGGGGTCACATATTAAGCAGTTGTAGTAAGAAGGACACTGTTTACCATACCTTGCATAGCAGCACTATCATGAGGAGTCCCATTTTTTTCTATTTCAATATCTGGAATTCCAGTATCTGAAATAATTGACATTCAACATTAAGGTACAATTCTGTTTTAGGATTCCAGTTAAAAGGAAAATTGCAGTTTGTTCCTATAGATAATGCAAAATCTTGGGCATTGTTTTTTTGTTTATTTGCTTGTTTTTGTTTGTTTTTATATGTTTCCATGGTAGTAGGAAGAATTATAAATTATAGCAGTATTTCACAATAGAATATAGATTTCTAGGTATACAATAAATCATTCATTTCATTCCCTAAAGATAAATTTTAAGAAAATCATCTGTTTATAAAAATCACCAATAACTATCAGGTTAATATGCCCTGATTACAGAACAATGAAAAGATGATGGATATAGTTGCCTACATGGAAAGGTCCATTCCTTATGCTTTATTTTCTATTTGTAATATATGATAGATGGTGATAATCTCTCTATGCTAAGTGCAAATGAAGACCGAAATATGCATTATGGTTTATGGTATTTCTGTAGTACTAGCTCTAGAAGCAAATATTTTACCACTGTGTTCTTCAGATGAGCTATAAAAGCAAGTAATTAGGATGTAAAAGTGCTCTGTGTGTGTGTGTGTGTGTGTGTGAATGTATGTGTGTGTACATATATTTACTTGAACATTTACTTCATACTATGTCTGAGTGTAATGTACCAATGTTATGCTGTTTCAGATAAAATGAAATCAGAAAAGTGGAATTAAGATATTTCATGATTTAAGCACGTTTTCCCACAGATAAAACTTAAATGCCTCAACACTAATGTAGTGTGCATCAAAGAAACCAACATCCTATATAGCTGATCAAAATTAAGTTCACTAAACATTAGCATATCTCACATCAATGGACCTGAAACACTTGCATTTCAGTGTAGGAAGGATATCAGTTTTACTGCTTCTACTTCAAAAGTCAGCAGAATTTTCTTTTTTTATCTCCAAGAATAGGGCTTATTTTGACTGGTTTTATTCACAACCTAACATATTTGGCCTCAAATTGGTATTTTAATTTTTCCTGGACATTTTCTTTCCTTCCTAACTTCCTTCCTTTGCTTCGTTTCTTTCTTCTTTATGATTTATTTTGTTTACCTTAAGTCCAAATTAAACTTTACCTTTCAACATCCTCAGGCCACTGTCACTAGTTGTGGCTTGCTTAAGCGCCTGTTCCACTTGTTCCCTGCGCTTTGATTCAAATTCCAAGGCTTCCTGCAGTTTTCTTTTGGCTTTTTTCTCCTTCTTCAGGCGCTTTTGCATGGTAGCTGGAATGTGGAAAAAGTATTTTGCAAAATCTTGGTCAATGAAATAGGTTTTGATGAATTATAAATGTAGATGTATTGGTTGAAACATGATCACATGTATGCTCTATAATGCACATGCATTTTTTATGGTGGTGACACTTGGGTTGGAGAATTGTTTTCTACTTTGACTCACTACATACATTTAATAATAACAGTCAATATTTTCTAATTTTCTAAAGAAATATACTGCTATTACTCATCAAGTTGTTGCTATTAATATGTCAAAATGCAAAAAATAACCCCCCTGCAAATATCTATTAGGTTGAATACTATGGTCTTTAAAACTAAAAGTGGCAATATCCATTTCAGTGGAATGGGACCAATTATAAAAGCAAAAAATGTATTTAATATATTTGTTTAAATAATGCACATATCATCAGTCTTTCTCTCCCCATACAAATACACAAACACACACACACACACACACACACACACACGGAGAATAATTTTCAGCCATGATTATATAAGCAAGTTGCAAAAGTGCAACTACAGTAATGTTCATTTGGTAAGCAGGAAGGTAAAATAGAGCTAAAGAAGAGGTATACCTCAATTCTCAAAGTTTTATCTCTCAAGTAAAAACTTCAGTGTCCCTCATGCAGTTATAGTTTATATTTAAACTCCAAAAGCCTGAAACTAGGATAGCACCTTAAATGGAATTATTAAGTTTCAGCAATAAATTGGTTCATAGCAGGGTTGTAAGCAGAGTAATACTTTTCCTAAATTAGTTTTTAAAAATTAAGTTATTGCTGTTATTGCAATAAAAGAACACTCAAAGTACATTGAGAAAACTAATAAATTATCTGATGTTTAAAAATGTTCACTGCACTCATATATAATTAAAATCTTTGAACTGAACTGAATGTTACTAATTGTTTCAAATGTGTTCATCTCATGGTTAAATATATTTTCATATAAACTACCTTGAACAACTTGAAGAGAGTCAGTTACATAAGTAAACTTCTGTGCAAATGCAAAATTTCAAAAATCTAAAGGAAAAAAACTGGAATTCTTCAGACAAAGACAATGAGAAAGTATGATTTTTATTATTTTGATGAAATACTGCTAAATAGGAATGAACATAAAATATATTAGTATCATAATTATATTCAAATATCATTTAAACATAGCAATAAACAAATTATTTAAATTAGAAATCTAGATTTATTGAAATTAATGTGTAACTTAATGTATTTGTCAAAACAAAATTGTGTTTCAAATAAAGTTAATGAGGCAAAAATATTCTATACGTTGATTCAGTTGAAATTTGTGATTTCACATACTGCAAACAATGCCAAACAGATTACATTAAAACTACTAAAATAAACAACAATAACTATAATTTATTCAGAACCAACTATGTACTGATCATTTTGCTGAGAATGTAACACATTAAGGTCTTAATTAACACTGTAAGAAAAAGCACTACCATTTCCATTTATAGAAAGCCACTGAGTCTTTGAGAGGTCAAACATTTACCTAAAATGATATAACTGGTAATTGTCAAAACCTGTGTATCACATAAGTTGGTTTTTCAAAGCCTAGGGACAACAGGGTTGGTTAGTGGACCAAGGCAGGTGACCCTAAAGTTTCCTGTTGTTTTATTATTCTATTATTTTAAATGTTTATTCTGCAAATAATATCATGGTATATTATTGCATATGGATATGTGTGTTTAATTCAAGTAGTATAGCTACCAGCAAAAAACAATTGGGTAGAATTTTTGGTTTTAGTGTGCAGCATTTTTTCTTTTATGGAAAAAAAGTTATAAGAATTCTTTTTCTATATTTATATGATATTACATATTGTTTATATATGTAGGTTATATATTAATATTGTTTTAGTATATTCTTGGAGAGATATGGCATTATAACCATAATATCAACCTTCTGCCCTATCCATTCCATCATGTGAACTTAGTTTATAATTTGTCATAAAAAGTTGGATATACTCACAATGGAGTATTACTTAGCCATAAGAATGAAAATATGGGGCTGGGGTTGTGGCTCAGTGGTAGAGCATTCGCCTAGCACATGTGAGGCCCTGGGTTTGATCCTCAGCACCACATAAAAATAAATGAATAAAATAAAGGTATTCTGTCCAACTATAACTAAAAAAATACATATTAAAAAAGAATGAAAATATGGTATTATGTTTCTACCACTCTGAACTTAGTTGACAAAACCTGTGTATCACATAAGTTGGTTTTTCAAAGCCTAGGGACAACAGAGTTGGTTAGTGGACCAAGGCAGGTGATTGACTGGACACAGGCCAACCTCAATCTATAAGTAAATAGCAGAAAGATTAGTAGAGTAGAGGGAAGGGAACAGGGGGAGGGAGGAGGTGAGGGAAAGGGGAAATACTGGGAACTGAATTAGAGCAAATTATATTCCATGCTTTGTAATTATGCCAAAATGAATCCTAGTATTATGTATAAATAAAAAAAAAATTAAAAAGACATTTAAAATTTGGGTATACTGGATATGAGATATTCAAGTAAGCAAAAAGAAATTTAAATGATTATCTAGTTAAGTTATTGTAATAGATGAGGTTGCTGAGATTCGTAGAAATGAAGTAGTTTTTCAAAATTGATGAGGATAAATAGTAGTTTTCTTAGTTGTATTAGTAATTCATTACAAGTTCTAAAAGCAGTGCTCAGCACATGGTAGACAGTATTATTAGCTAGTACTAGCAACAGTACTGATGGTAATAGTAGTGGTTATAATAGTGACTAAATACTAAATGGTAGTAATTTTAGTGATGATAGCAATTATAGTAGTATTAGCCTTATCATATTATAACAAATGCTAAATTTGTTAAATACAAGTACTTCAAGGCAAATTTGATAACTAATTATGCCTACCAGGTCTACAACTTTTTACAGGATAATAGATAATATTATAAATGTAGAACTAAAATGTCCATGAAATGTTAGTAAACAGACATTAAGTGAGTATATTCCCTAAAAATTAGAAGTTAATTTTGCTATATGTACTAGATTTTTGTGAGTCAATTTAAGAAGCTTATTGTACTTAGCATATGTTTTTTTGTTTTAGAATAAAAATTTCCTTAGTAAATAAATGTGAGTTACTATGATTATTAATCATTGCACACTATTTCACATACTATCAGAGATAAACTAATTTCACCAAACTTTTAAAAAGACAATAAAGTCTTTGCTTTGTTGTATTTAATGAATTTTAATTTGTTAGGTTAAGGAAAACAGGTTTCATTTTTTTAAATGCAGTGTTTGAAATTCCATTTTATAGTGAACCAATGATTCCTAGGACCTAAAGAAAATACAGAGTATGTTTTCAAGCTCTTAAAACAATAATTTGTTACTTTGAGGTAGTGTAAAGTCAGTCAAGTTTACACAAGTGTAATCATCCTTCTTTGACTAGAGTTATCAATTTGGTCTATTTTCTTTCTTTGCCTCTCCTTCACACTTTTCAACCTTTTACTTATTTTAGATTTTGTGATCCTTCAATAGACGAATAAGCAGGGAGAGAAAGAAGCTGTAATTCATAACATTTACTTTTTATGCTGTTTAATATTTTATGGAAAATGTAGGGAAGATGTGGAAATTATGAAAGTGAAATTTTGAATCTTCTGCTCCTAGTCTTACCACTAGTCTTACATTAATTCTCCCCTAATTTATCCCCATGATCAGAGTAATTTATCCAAATGAATTCAGACCCAATGATTCACTTGCTTATATACTAATACTTCCAATCACCCATAGGATAAAATCAAAGCTAATCTTTTACAAAGTTAAAAATATTCTTCATAATTTAAATTCTACACCTATTTATGTGCATCATTTCCTACCATTCACTTCAGAAAACTCAAAGCCACTCTAATAATAAACTGTTTATAGTCACCCATGGATGAAGTTTCTTTTCTCCATGCCTATGCTGATCTCGCTGCCTAGAATGCCCCACTTGGTTCCTTGCACATTCTTTTTTTCCCCCTGCTGATCCTTTAGGACTCAGATTCAGGTTTCAGCATCAGAAAATACTCCTTATATCTCCTCACCCCTTCAGCAAGCAGAGCAAACAAACCCTCTATATATAACCATGAAGACTGTGCATGTTTACTTTTGCTACTTTGTTTTAACTTTAACTGCTTGTGCTAGTTCTCTAAAATGTAAATCCCTCAAGGACATGGACTGAGTCCATTCACTTTTTCATTCCAAAATGTAGCACTGTGCCTAGCAAGAATAAGCATTACATATGTAAGGAATTATAAGTTTATCTATATGCGTTTTCTGACATTGCAAGATAATTATAGGTATTCATTTTTCTAAATCTGGAACTAGCCCAGAGTACAGATCTAGTTCATTATTTTTTTAGTATAAAGAGATGGACTATACATTTCTTTCGTTGTGGTTTGCATACAGTTTTTGCTTTGTATCTTATTTATTTTCAGCAGTATTAAGCTATCTTTGGTAATATTTCTAATTATTATTAAAAATACCTCTAACATAATATTTACTCTGTAACTGAACATGTTAAACTTACTTCTGCTTTGAAGCTCAACTGCAAGTTGTCTTTCAAGGTTTTCTCTAATCTCTCTCTCTCTATAGAGCTCCATTCGCAGTTCCTTCTTTTCTTGCTGAATCTGCTTCTCCTGGATGCGAGCATTATCCAAAGCCACTTTCAGCAGACCCTGTCAAAGTACAGCAAATGACATGCAGTTCATCTTATCTGTTTTAATTTCTCAAATACAAAATAATTTGTGTAGGTGCTAATGTCTTGTATTACATTTATTTTGTTTATAGAAATATTGTTGACCTGAATGTTGGTCAACAGAGTCTCCACGGAGGATAGACTATCAGCAAAAATGAATGGTCCAGGGAATCCAGGGGGCAAGGCCTGCCCAGGAGCCAGTTGAAGCTTGTCCAAGGGTGACTTCATCAGTGGAATTTGAACAGGTACTTCTTCTGAAAAAAAAATTATGTCAGAAGGTTCACAAATTAACAGGTCAAATGTTTCACCAAATCACCTCCAACAGACATCTACAAATACTGATCCAAAAACTAAATGATGGACACTCATAATTAGAAATCATACCTATTGTGCAGTTAGCTCTATTTTCTGAAGATAAGTGATTCAATACAGAACCCATGAAATTGAAACCATATTTATTGCTAAAGAAACATGAAATCTGTTGAAAAGATTTTCAGATAAATACAACTGATGTACCTGTTTATGAATATCTATAAACTAAATAGTCAGACCACTTTCTAGGAATATATAAGCTATCTTTATTTATTTTCTCTTCAAATCTATGTACCTACCTATATACGAACCTGTCTTCATTATTTTTAACAGCTTAACTGAAGTATAATTTAAAGACATTAAATTCAACTATTTTAGGTATATGCTTAATTTTTGGCAAATTTATGGAGTTTTCTTTCACAACCAATGTTTTAGAATGTTTCAATACCCTGCAAAAAGATTGCTCATACATATTTATAGTTAATCTACTCACCCAACCTAGCTTCTGGCAGCAAGTATGCTACTCTCTTTCTAAAGTATTACCTTTTCTGGACACAATATGTGGCTTTTTTGCCTGGATTCTTCCACTTAATATCATGTCTCTGAGGTTTATTCACATTGTGTCATATTTCCATAGTTTCTTCCTTTTTATTATTAAACAGTATTTCATTGCTTACTTTTAATCTTGGGAAGTATTCTTTATGAAAAAAAGAAACCAATTAAGCCACAGAAATGCAAGTTGTATCAACCCTCACCTTTAGATTTTAAACCATTTTCTTCCACATTCTCATTTTTTTCTTTTTTTTTATTGGTTGTTCAAAACAATACAAAGCTCTTGACATATCATATTTCATACATTAGATTCAAGTGGGTTATGAACTCCCATTTTTACCCCAAATACAGATTGCAGAATCACATCGGTTACACATCCACATTTTTACATAATGCCATATTAGTAACTGTTGTATTCTGCTACCTTTCCTATGCTCTACTATCCCCCCTCCCCTCCCCTCCCATCTTCTCTCTCTACCCCATCTACTGTAATTCATTTCTCTCCCTTGTTTTTTTTCCCCATTCCCCTCACTTCCTCTTATATGTAATTTTGTATAACAATGAGGGTCTCCTTCCATTTCCATGCAGTTTCCCTTTCCTCTCCCTTTCCCTCCCACCTCATGTCTCTGTTTAATGTTAATCTTTTCCTCCTGCTCTTCCTCCCTGCTCTGTTCTTAGTTGCTCTCATTATATCAAAGAAGACATCTGGCATTTGTTTTTTAGGGATTGGCTAGCTTCACTTAGCATAATCTGCTCTAGTGCCATCCATTTCCCTGCAAATTCCATGATTTTGTCATTTTTTAGTGCTGCGTAATACTCCATGGTGTATAAATGCCACATTTGTTTTATCCATTCATCTATTGAAGGACATCTGGGTTGGTTCCACAGTCTAGCTATTGTGAATTGTGCTGCTATGAACATCGATGTGGCAGTATCCCTGTAGTACGTTCTTTTAAGGTCTTCAGGGAATAGTCCGAGAAGGGCAATAGCTGGGTCAAATGGTGGTTCCATTCCCAGCTTTCCCAGGAATCTCCATACTGCTTTCCAAATTGGCTGCACCAATTTGCAGTCCCACCAGCAATGTACAAGAGTACCCTTTTCCGCACATCCTCGCCAGCACTTGTTGTTTGACTTCAGAATGGCCGCCAATCTTACTGGAGTGAGATGGTATCTTAGGGTGATTTTGATTTGCATTTCTCTGACTGCTAGAGATGGTGAGCATTCTCATTAATCAGATTGTCTCTTAGTACCAGATAAAGCGACATCAACAGAATGATTCTCTATTAAGATGTTTTAGATTTATTTTGGACAGATATATTGAGTTAGAAAGGGAATCTCTTACTTTGAGAAACGTAACTACTCTGCTATCAATTTGAATTTTGGCTGACAATATTTTATATGAGATATACGAACCAGATATCAAAATTCCTCTGTAACTGAAAATGGAGACAGTTTTTGACATATGTAAAATAAAAAAAAAACTGGGCTGGGGCTGTAGCTCAGTGGCAGAATGCTTGCCTAGTATGTGCAAGAAACTGGGTTTGATCCTTAGTACCATATAAAAATAAACATATAAAGGCATTCTTCCCATCTACAACTACAAAAATTTTTTTTTTTAAAAAATTAAGGAAACCTGATACACAGAGTCCTGGGATGAAACCTAACAAACTCAGTTACTCCTAATTGTAGTTCAACAGTATAATCAGGTGAATCATTAAACTTCAGTTACTCTTCTCACTGCCATTTCCTAATTTCAGCAACAGGGCATAAGTGAATGTTGAAAAATAGGCTTCTTTATGGATGGAAACAATTTTCAGTGACTTAATATATGCTAAAGAGACTCACTTAGGAAAAAGACTAGACTTAAATGTTGTCCTAACCACTTTTCAGATGGTATGGAAACAACAATAACAAAAAAATCTAGCTAGTGGTGTGGTTCCTGTAAGGATGCAAATATTGATTTGCCATACAGTTAGACTTCATTTTTCAATTGCAAGTAGCCTACATACGTAGTGAGAAGATTCTCAAACCCATTGATTTCACAGTCATCATGTTTTGCTATGTAATTTCTTGTGTGGGAATTTGTGGCATACAATTGCGGGAAATTTCAGTGAGATTACTTAATGGGATACCATTGTCCATAAATAAAATACTCTTAATTTTCTTTTTCTAAAATTAACAGTGATAAAAATGCTAAATGATTATTTAAGAAAAGCAACCGTTTCACATTATTTATATCCAAAAATTAACATTATTTATTGGTCTCAAAAATTCAGTAAAATGCATAGATTCTCACATTAATTTTCTTCAGCACTGAAAGCTATATTTCCCTGGAACTAACTTTTAGAAAACCTGAAGAAACTGTATTTTGATCATCAATGCAAAAATGCATGGATTTTCTACAACTCCCTCATAGGTTTATGCCCATAATAATCATATTAATATTTATAATTAACTTAAGCATCTTATAGGACATCTCTCTGTCTCTGTCTCTCTCTCCCTTTTCTCTGTGTCTCTCAAATAACTGGTATGTTTGGAAAAGATTGAGTTTTCCAGAAAGAACAGAAAAGATCAGCACATCATCACAAATTCCTTGACTTTATTCAACTACATGATTTCTTTTAAAATATTATCTCATAAAAATGTAGAAAAAACTAAATCCTAAAATTAACAGCTCTAATATTTTAAAAATACATTTCTCAAAAAGGCAAGCACTATTATGTTTTATTTGTACTGTTTGAGGTCTGTATTTGGGTGTTGTCTTTTGCACATAAGTGCATAAAGTAGATGGAATGACTGAATACTGATCTATCAATACTAATAATGGCTAGAGAGACTGCACTTTTGAATTGATAATTATAAATATTAAAGTATGAATTTGTATAGCAGGAAAGCTCTATTTTTACAAAATGAACCACTACAAAGTTAGAATATTTACTATCTGTTGATTCAGAGACAACATAACATTTCCCCTAAATAAATATTTTGTATCAGAGACAAAGATCTTAAAAGTACTGGATTTCTTGTTATATTTCACTCTACACACATGTATAACTTCAGTGGTAAAATCTGAGGGGCACTCTTTCTGAAAATGAAAGCATTACATTCAGTATGCACAAAACAAAATTATAACTACGTTAAAATTGCTAGAAGTCTCCTGTTTGAAGCTGAACGAAATGTCATTAAATTGGCTGAAAGGAACATTACTATTGACTATGAAAACAGGTTGCATGGTCCATGATTGTAATGTTGCTGTACCGTAGATTGAAGTTTCAAAATAGTATTACTCTTCTTTAAAGAGATAGACACAGCTAAATTAGGTGTTGCTTGCTGCAGTGAGGATCAAATGCAAAAAGAATCATATTTCATCAGACCTAGTCAACACCAGGAAAATAAATAGAAATATAAGAGGTATGCAGGCTATGATTCATTTTGATAATCTGGCCCAAGAGAGACACATAGAGACAGCACACAGATCTAAGCTTCTACCAAAAGACAAATAGGACACAGAGGGTGGGAACTGGGATGACAGTGTAGCAGAGGTCACATCGATTTTCAGCAGCAGTTTTCACACAGATGAGATAACCCTGGACTCTATTTGGCCCATTGTTCATATCCTACCTGTCCCACAAGCAATAAATTTTCTAGTCCTAGAAAAAGGGCAGTAAAGAAGAAGGATTCTACTTATGACTTCTTATGATTAAGTTTCTGTGCTAACCAAACATGCTTTTCAGACCAAGGTCACATTGCATGTTAGGGTCTGTAATAACCCAAAACTAGTAGAAGCATATTAGTCTTAGTGTATATGATTAGAAACTGTGCAACTACTCATCAGATTTTTTTTCTGATTTAAATCACATGCTACAAAAATGACTGCTAAATGCATTTGAAATTTATTTCAATCTTATAATAGATCTTCACATCTGAACGGCATTTACATTTTGTTCAGAGATGGAATAAATGCAATGTTACATAGAAATGTATCAGGTGAGCTTGAGAAATCCTAATTGGCAATAAAATTAAAAAATGGGAAAATACTTGAAACATAGATTGTCAGTTTAATAAAAGCAGCTCTTTGCAATCCTGAGAAAGGGTTTTGATTTAAAAAAACTGATGCGCGCGCGCACACACACACACACACACACACACACACACACACCTTTATCAGCATATATAACACATTGGTTTAAATTAAAAAAAATAAACCTAACACAACTGCAATCTCATCAAGGACATGAGCAACCTCTCCAATTATTGATGTAATGTGGAGACCACTTCAATTGAGCCTGTTTGTTAAACCTGCCATACTTTGTAATAGCACTTGGGGATCCACATAAACAATAAGCTCTTTATTTTAATTTCTTGCTTGGGGCCCAGATGAATAGATGCA